AGAGAGAGAGAGAGAGAGAGAGAGAGAGAGAGAGAGAGACAGAAGAGAGAGAGAGACAGACAGACAGACAGACAGACAGACAGACAGACAGACAGAGAGACAGGGGTATGCCCTGGACGCCAATATTGGGCATTGATGTTTGCTGGCTCATGGATTTTCATCCTCTTGTGCTCTCTTGGTGAATAGGTGTGATATCATGGAGCTGAATGAGAATGACTGACTGATAAAACACAAGTTCCAGCTCTACTGAACTCATCCAGTGCAAAGTATCCCTTGATTCCTTTCCCATCCTGGTGTTCTTCTTCATGACAGAACAGTGACATTGCGGTGTGACATCTTGCTCTTGAATTAGATCAACAGAGCTGGCGCTTTGCGGGTATATGATTCCTTACCTCACTGCTTTCAGCGAACAAATACAAATTAGCTGGCCAGGTTCATTCCCATCCAAAGGGTCCAGTCCCATTTCAGCATCCACAGACAGAACAGGGAAAGTTGAAACTGTATTTCTGAATTGCCTTTGCAGTTTTTTCTACGCTGCAACTTGAAAGTTGAAACTCTATTTTTGGAAAGTTCTCCTGTCTCAGAATGTACATTCATGTTCGTTCATGGACATCCTGAGACAGGAAAACTTTCCAAAAAAGAGATGGCACTTTTCTATCAAGTTTAAGTTTCAACAAATGAAAAATTTAAAAACACCTTCTTAGCTGGATACCGGGTCCTGTGTCCCTTAAACCACCCCACCACTATCTCCGATCCTTTTTTTTTGTTTTGTTTTCGCTGGACCTGAATTTCATTGCGCAGCGAGTTTTGCCGAGCCTGGGTCCCATCCATTCTTTTTTTTTTTTTTTTTTTTTTTTTTTTTTTTTGGAAATTTGGACAATGTCTCTTTTTTTTGTTGTTGCTGAAATTTCATTATATTTGTTGTTGATGAAATTTCATTCTCTATCCATGTGTATAAGAGACAGTCTCTATCCAGTTGTTGAAATTTCATTCTCTATCCAGAGCACAGAAAAAAAAACTATCCATGCTGGCTCATCGTTCAAACTTCAAAGTTTCCAAC